GGCCTTTGTCACAAAGCAGGTATTATCAAGCTTTTTAATATCTGCCAATATGGAGGGTTTTTAAAAATGATATTTTCCTGCTATTTTAATTTGCATTTTTTGAGAAGTGATGAGATTTAGTATCTTTTCGATGTTTATTGGTCGATTTGGGTCTCTTGTGAATTTTGTGACTTGTGCCTATTTCTCTACTAGGGTATTTGCTTTTTTAAAAAATGGATTTTTAGTGGAGGTTATTATCTCTTTAACTAGCATCAAAGTATAGTACCCTAAAACTATGGCCTGGCTGGATTTGAATTCTAAACCTGTTCCACCACTCCTTAGCTACATGACTTAGGACAAGTTACCTGTCCTATCTGTGCTCTGTTGCTTCATCTATAAAATGAAGATTAAAACACTGTTTACTTCTTGGAGATCTGTTATGAGGGTTAAGTTTAAACTCATTTATTAAATGTCTCTAAGGAATATGTATGAATTAATTTTTTATGCGTTTTGGATAAAATAGTTAAAACCAATATTTAAGAGAAAATTTAAAGAAATTTTTAATTTAATGTGTTTTAAAGATGTAAACTTCAATGTATCAATAAATGAAGACTAACAACATTCTTAATGTAGTTAAAATTTGTAAAATGTAAATACTCAGGGCTCTTAATAATTGTGGATAGTAAAACAATTGAAATCTAATTGGCAGTTACATAACTCAGAACTGACCAGAATAATCTTTAATGACATATAAAAAAAAAAGAGGTGACAACAACTTTAATATCTAACTGTTAAGTTAAAATACATAACTATGGCTATTATGGCTCTTGTATCATGAAATTAATCAACTGGATTTTTCCTAATCACTACAGCATCAGAAACTAAACTTATTGCTAACTACAGCAATAAATAATCAGTTACTTATGTGATTTGAAAACTTCAGTTTTTGAAAATGAAAACCCGAAAGATAATATTTAAGTTGTTAATTGAAATTATTCTCAAAGATTTAACAGTCAAACTATTTTGGTTGTTTCACTTTATGAGAGGTCTCAATTGAATTCAACTTTAAACAAACTAAAAATCACTACATGACTGTGCAAGACTGAAGTTCCATTAGTAATTATGAAGCCAAAACTACACAAAGAACAGAAATTTAGTTTATAAAAGAGAAAAGAACACTGATGACTTCTAAGTGCTTTTGAAATTTGAGAAAGTATAATTAAATTGTTGCCATTATGGTTCCAGATGCCCTTTACTTATGAAAGGAAGCTTATCTTTAAAAAAACAAACAAACAAACAAACAAACTAAGGTAGAAAAAAAATTCTACTTAATATTACATAGCCAGGAGTATCTTAATTTTGTATTAAAAAATTACCCAAGGTTACTAAGTATTTTTAATTAAGATCATATCTTATGGTTATTTTTAGTAATCCTAACTTATATCAGTGGCTTGTACTATCAACAGTTCAATATCATGGCTGAAAAATATAAAGAGATAGAGAAAGGACTTTGGGTACTTAAAATACATATTTAATGAAGGACTTGAAAATGCTAAATTGTTATCAAATTGGACAACACAGAAACTGATGATCCCTATTAGTATGGCATTGCATGTACACACCTGTTGCCTCCTGTTAATCCTCAATACAAGTGTCACAAGATCCACACCACCCAACAAGGGCCAGCAGGAACTACATTTGAAGTGCTATGACCTAACAATGCCCTTCAACAAGTGTAAGACTTCATGGATGTCTTTTCCAAAGACCATCCAACCTTAAGGGGGTAAACTGATGAGGAAGACCTGCCATCTACCCAAACAGGAATGCTTTACTGCTTTTGCTGGTATTCGGCACACATGAAGGAAGCCTTGTTGTTTGTTAAGAGAGGGGAAAATCTGAGAGAGGTCTGGCAAAGAAAGCCTTCCTCTGCAGCACTGCCAAGTAAATCCAGTTTCTCAGTAACAATCAGCATTTTCAGTGAAGATAGATATGAACTGCTGTTTGTGGGGACTGAAACTCAGTGGATGATTCTAATTTGTAGTAATCATTAAAGGGCAAGAATCCTGAACTAGCTATGTCATGATCATAATTCTTATTCTCACGGAAATACCACAAGTAATTTAATAACCTTGAACAAATGCCAAATAATAATTTCAGTGCTAACAGCTCATGTCTAACACATGCTAATCTTAGGTAAATATGAATCAAAGCAAAATTCACTTAAACTATCACTTAAAACTATATATACACATATACATACATATATAATTTTGCTAGGGAGCATGCTCACTTGCTGGAGAGAGAGACAGACAGGAAGAAAGCACCCTCAATGGGGAAGAGTCACACTGCAATCCCTTCTCCTCCATTTCTTTCAGGATTTTCGGTATGTATGCACACGCATCTGGCCAGCTTTTCAAGCTACCAGGTCCAGGATTCAAACCAGGTAGTCAGACGTATGAAATCCAGCCACCTTAATCACCCCATCACTGGCTAGCCCAACACTATGTTATTTTTTGCGTGGTGATGCTACACAGAATTGCTGATATGTCAGATCCACTATACTTGATAATTGCATTTTCACTGAGATGTAATTGTTCAAAATTTAGGAAGTATACATAGCTATGTGAGAATTCACAGAAGAAAATGAGTGCTAAAATGTTCATTTTAGTTCAGTTCAACAAACATGAACATCCATCATCTTCTATTTATTAAAAAGCGAATGGTGGGCCAGCCCCATATTACGGTAGTTAAGTGGTATTCATTGGGTGCTGGATCCCATATAGCTGACCATGGTTTGATTCCCAGCCCCATGAACTTAAAAAAACACCCTGGCTATATGTGCATGCATGCTCTAAATCCCGACTGAATGGAGAAAGGGGGAGGAGGGGGTGGGTAAAGACTGCAGCATGACCATACCTCATTGGAGGTTCTCTCTCTCCTTCTCTCTCTCTGTCAAATGACGTCAAATGACTGCATATGCTCTCTGGCCAAAAAAAAAAAAAAAAAAAAAAAAAAAAAAAAAAAAAAAAAAAAAAAAAAAAAAAAAAAAAAAAAATTAACAAAAACCAAAAAAAAAAACAAAAAAAAAAAAAAAAAAAAAAAAAAAAAGCAACAATAACAAAAAACAAGAACAAAAACAAGAAAAATTACTGCAAAACCATAAAGCAATCAGCTAAAAGAGAAACTGAGAGGTAACCTGTACATTTTGAAAGACTAATTCATAAGCTACCAGTCTTCACACACACACAGCATACTCCTGTGTGTCAAGTCCAAGAATCACATGGGGAGTGAGTGCTGAGGCTGCCCAGGAAGGACACAATCAGTGACAGAACATTGCCTACATACACAGGGTGTGGCCAGAATAGGGATCAGAAGCCACAAGAATGAAGGCATGGGTCTCCACCTGGAGGCACAGAGAGGTGATAAGACAAAGAATGTCCCAGGAAGGGCAAGGTCTAGGAAGTCAGGAGAGGGCAAAAGTGGGATAAGACCACAGCGGAGGTGAGAGGTGAGAGAAAGCAGTGCCCTGCCCACCTGCTGTCTGGAGGGTGCGCATGAAGAGACAAGTCACCGCAGTGGTCGATACTAAGCCACAGCACTGCCTAAGAAGTCTAGAGTTAGCCTGAGGGAGAATGGTCACCTGGAAGGGGTTTCAAAATGGGAAGTGCAAAATCTAATTTATATTTCAGAAGGATGAGTTTTTTTGTTTGTTTGTTTGTTTGTTTTTTAAAGGCAGAAGTAAATTCAGCTGGAGAGAAGCCTCAGGGGTAGGGTGCTAGGCAGAAGCCTACAGAGCACTGCTTCGTAGATTTCACTGTAAGATGGGAAAATATGGCAAATATTTAAAGCAAGACGTGGATAGGATCTGATTTAGACTTTAAAAAGGTATTCCTTGGATATGAACTGTAATCTGGTCTGGGCACAGTGAAGGGTGTATATGGTAAAGTAACAGAGCTTAACGGAAACAAGATCGATTATGGTCAGCTAGAGGAGTAAGGCCTCGTATGACTACAATTACTGAATTTCAGAAAATAAAGTAACTGTGATCACATAAAACATTACTAATTTAATGATTCTGATCGTTAGTTGAGACTTCTGGCATCACCGTATGTAAACAGTACACAATAAAAACCAAAGTCGTCCCAACACTAGACAACGTTACCACCGTCTAATAAAATCACTACGCAATAAAAACAAAAAGTAATTAAAGTGATTAGTTAAAAGAATGGAGATTAAGCCGAATGTGTAAACAGTTCACTAATGCATCAACACATACACAGCCCAAGAGAACTTCTACCATGAGCACGAACATTTCTATAAGACCACGTCTATATAAAGTGTTAAAAGGTAGCTTGCTTGCATGTGTCCCACACAAACAAACAGCTATTTGACCAACCGAGAAGTTCATCTGATTCAGAAAACAACTGTCTTAAAAAAACAGATATCATGAAGGGATTTAAGTGACTTTCATTCGACATCACAAATGCTGGCACTGTGTCAGCCATCCTTTTGTGGATCAATTTCCTTTGATAAATTACTATAATAATCTCACACCTACACATTTTCCTTCCATCCTTCACCTTTCCCGCATTAACAATTAGGTCTTCTACATAACTGACCAGATTTCTTATATAAAGGTTTCAATGATGGTCACAAAGTCACTGCATAAAACTGTCACTCTATTCTATCTATGCAAAAAAAGGAGTATTATTGAAAGCAAGTATGCATTACTAAAATGATCAGTTATTGTAAGGTATCATTAATTATTCTCTGAAATTTAAGAATACCTATAAACCACTGAATAGTCATAATAAAAAGTGGATTAAATTCCAAACTATCCAAAAAATGGATCCAAGCTAAAAACAAAGTTAAAATCAAATTAATCACCTGCCCTCAATAAGCACAAGAGAAATATGAGTAACAAAGCTTTTAAAGCTTATTTTGATAAAAGCGTATCTACATCTATTGCTTGAGAAAGCTTAGATAAGTTTTAAAGAACTGTAATAACTTTATTTACTTACCTGTTGGAGGTGGGCAGTCTTTCCAATCAAAATAGCCTGCATAAATTCCAGTTTCTAAGGAGCCAACGATGGGATCTGTTTTCAACTCAATGTAATTTTCAAAGAGTCTTTGGTCTAGTTCTTTCAATGATGCCATGCTAACCTATAAGCACACAATAAAGAACATGAGTTGCCCAGTTGAAGATGGGAGACAAAGCAAAATAATAAAAGTAATGAATGCTTCTGCATATTTTAAAAGCACTTATCAACTGCCCTGCAAAACTCGTTATTTTAATTTTTATCTATTTTAATTAATAAAGACCACTCTTAGCAAAGCTGTTTCACAGGATAAGATATAATCCCAGGGGACCAGCATATGGTGTAATGGTTATGTTGCTGGACTCCCTCGTAGTAGACCATGGTTTGAGTCCCGGACCTGGCAGCTTAAAACTCACACCAAGTGCATATGTGTGCATGGCCAAAATCTCAAGAGGAGAATGAAGGAGAAGGGACTGCGGTATGGCCATCCCCCCTGGGGGGTGGTTTCCTGCTTTCTGTCTCTCTGTCTTTGTCTCTCTGGCAAGTGCACTGGCCCTATAGCAAAAACATCTCTCTCTCGGCCCCCTAAGAAAAAAATTCTCCCCCCTAAAAAAAAAAAAAAAAAAAAAAAAAAGATAAAATCCCAACATATTGTCTACAGGTCATCTTTGAGAACACCAAACCCTTTTTTTTTTTCTTTCTGTAAGCAGAGGAAGAGACATTACTACACAGTAAAGTCAGCAAGTTACAACAAAAAAGGAACCATTTAAAATAATCCAGCTGTGCTTCTTTATATTATTTCCTTCATTTGAAAATTATTGTTAATAGACAATAAACCTATTCTGGTGTTCTAGCAAAGCAAATGCAGCTCTCCTGGCTCCCTCCTCCAGTGTAGCCCTGCCCGTTGCGCTTGGGAGTGGCTAAGTGCTGACGTGCCGCTGGTTCTACGGAACTGCATGGAGAGCACAGACACCGTGCTGTCTCTACGGGGAAAATGAGAACGCTACAGAGTCCTGGTGTGAGCAACGCAGAGTGGCAGGTTCTCAGGACAGTTCAGCCCACACGGACTACAAATTCCTGGCAGTAGTGGGGCCAGAACAGGAGCAGGAGGTGAGCACCAGCTCTGCATGAGTGTGCCTTGTTTCAGGGCTTCCCAGAGGGCAAAAGGCAACAGAAAGGGTGGGCAATGAGTGGGCATGGGAAGACGGGGGAGTTGAGTCCATGGGCCCAGCTGCCTCTGCAGTGAACTAGGGGCCAATCTACATGGGTCTGAGGGATACAGACTTCTCTCCAACACCAGACATGAGCTTCAGCCAGTTGACAATAAAACATAAGCACGCATCTAAGGGAGTTGGGCTACTGTCAACAGCAATACCCATCAAGTAGTGAACTTCAGCTGCTGAAGAGACAAGCCACAATGTGCATAGAAAAATAATAAAATCCTTAAGGAGATTACGGTGTAACACATAACAAGATTGTATGCAGATGAATCATGATTTGCAAACCTAACAACTGCACAGATTAACTGACGGACGTACCTGTCACTATCGAGACTGAAATAAAGTGCCGAAAGTATTTCAAAGTATGAAGTAAAAATATAAGATGGGAATTATAGAGGAAGAGACTTGGAAGACAGATCTAGGGGCACTGTATGTAAAAACCAGAAATTCAAGTACAGACATTTGAGGATTATGATAAAATGTAAAAAGTAAACAAGCAATAGAAGAACATTTAACCGGACGTACAGCAAGACCGGAATTTGCAAATAGACTTGCTGAGTTTCAGGCTAGACTGATGCAACATTTACTACATGAAGACAAATACCTCTGAAGTTCCTAGTTTGTAAATAAACAAAGAAAAAGAAAAAAAAAATCAAACCTGCAGATTAAAATAATTATTTACCTAAAACGAAAAAGAGTCTAATATAAATTCCTCACATGGACCACTAAAACCTAAAATCAATGGAGTATCTATAGGGACAAAGGATAAAACACAGTATTGTATATTTAGTCAAGATGTCCAAAAACAGGTTTTTGAATATGCAAGGATTCAAAAAGTATTATTGCCCATGGTTCTGGGACCAGTAGTTAGAATAATGGCTATGTTGCTGGACTCCCACGTAGTTGACCGTGGTTCGAGTCCCAGACCCAGCAGCTTAAACTCATGCCAGGCGCGTGTGTGTACGTGCCCGAGATCCCGAGAGGAAAATGGAGAAGGGATTGCAGCGTGGCCATCCCCCCTGGGGGGTGATTTCTCGTTTTTTGTCTCTCTGTCTCCGTCTTTCTGGCAAGCGCACACGCGCTATAGCAAAAACCTCACACACACACACACACAAAAGTAGGCACTTAATTAAAGAAGATACCTAATTATGAGTAACTGAATACCTAAGAAAAGGTACTTAACATCATCAGTAATCAGAAAAAGCCAACTAACGCAACAATGAGATTGGCTCAACTTAAGAAGGAAGATAATATGAAATGTTGATGAGGACATGAAGCATCTGGAACCCAGAGGCTTATACTGGTCAAGTGTAAAATGAGATGCCTTTGTCCCACACCAGTAATTGCACTTCAGGGGCATATCCAAGATAAGTGAGTACAGATGTCCACAAAATAATTTTTACAGGAATGTTCACAGCAATTTCATTCATAAAAGCCTCAAACTGGAGGCAACTTAACGTCTATCAAATCATAAGAATGATTAAATAAGATTTGGTAATCTGAACCCAGCAATAAAAGATGATGAATCACTGAAAGCCAGATACAAAAGCCTACAAACAGGATGGCTCCCTTTCCCAGGAAGTTCTGGATCGGGCAAAACAACTCTGCAGACAGGACTTCAATGGCAGTAGAGTGGTGCCTACTGACCGGACGTGGGCAGAGGCACTAGGCACTACCTTCTGCCTTCATTTGGGTGCTGGGTATCGGAATGTGTGTACCACAAAATGCTGGCAATCCATGCACTTAAGGTTTGTGTATTGTACTGAATGTAAATTATACCTAAACTCTTTTTCTAAAAAAGGGGGGAAAGAAAGGTTGGAAATAAATGGATGAGGACACAGATACGAGAAAAATGTAACAGGAAGAGTCAGGGGACAGTACTGCTGTGTGACAAGGCAGTCCTAAGGTCAAGAGTGTGCGCCTGGGGACCAGCAATTAGCTTAATGGCTATGTCGCTGGACTCCCATGTAGTCGACCGCAGTTCGAGTCCCGGACCCGATGGCTTAAACTCATGCCAGGCGTGTATGCGTGCGTGCCTAAGATCCTGAGAGGAGAAAGGAGGAGAAGCGATTGCGGCGTGGCCATCCCTGCTGGCGGGTGATTTCTTGCTTTCTGTCTGTCTCTCTCTGCCTGGTGAATGCATGTGCCCTATAGCAAAAACCTCTCCAAAATAAAATAAAATAAAATAAAATAAAATAAAATAGTACCTTCCTACCAAACAACCCTCCCCTTCGCTGGGGAAAAAAAAAGGTGAGAATTCAATAGCTATATATTCAGAAATAGATTTATTAAATTTCTATGTATCAGAACTGGGGAGCATCTTTTAAAGTTCTTTACAAACTATAGGGGCCCAGATGCGGTGGCTCACAAAAAGCACTGCTTGGGAGGCTGGGTCTCAGGAAAGGCTGGGTTCGGCTCGGTCCAACTTTACACACATGTGCAATCCTAGCTAATTTGGACGCTGGGCCTGAAAGAACTTGTGGCACAGTGAGACTCTAACAAAAAAACCCTCTCTCTGTCTCCTTTTTCCTCTCTCAGTAAGGGGGAACAACAGCGGCAGCAAAACCTCTAAGTAATAAAATAAAGAAGCAAAATATATATTAGGATGGAACATTCTGATGAAGAGACAAAACTACCTATGATAATCTACCCCTGTATCCTTCTTGGCAGCAATACACACATCAAACGACATTCTCTTTTTTGGAGAGATTTTTTACTATAGCGTGTATGAGCTTGCTAGAGAGAAAGAGAGACAGAAAGAGAGAAATCACCCCCGGGGGATGGCCATGCCTCAATCCGTTCTCCTCCATCTTCCTCTCAAGATTTTGGGCATGCATGCACACAGGTCCAGAGCGAGTTTTAAGTCTCCAGGTCCGTTGACTATGTGGGAGTCCAGCAATGAAACCCATTACGGCAGCTGCTGGTCCCTCAAATGACATTCTGTTTTTTGTTTTTAAATAATTATTTATTTAATTTTATTTATTATTATTCTGAGAGAGAGAGAAAGGGAGAATGAAAAACAAGCTACCAGGTCTGGGACTTGAACCACAGTCAGTCATGTGGGAGTCTAGCACCTTAACTACCATGGCACCTGCTGGCCCTGAAATGACATCCTTATCTCATAAGCCCTGGACTGTTTCCAGTCCATGTTCATGATGACAGTCCTGGAGAAGAGACATTTAAGTAGATGCCACATTTCTTTAAGTCCTACGTAGTTGTCTTTAATTCAATCAAAACGATTTAAAAAGTAAAATCAGTATTTTGATATAGCATTTTCAATTTAAATTAAATTTCTAATTAAATTTTTAAATTTACTATTTTAGACATCAGTTATGAAAAATGCTTTTTCTTATGTTCTTTTTTTTCCGGTTTTTACCATTTGGTGAGTGTGCACACTGGAGAGAGAGAAGAAACAGAGAGAGAAAATGAGAAATCACCCCCATGGGGATGGTTGTGGCAAAATTCTCTCTCATTCTTCTCTTGGAATTCTGGGCAGCATACAGCCATGCCTGGCATGATTCTCAAGCCACCAGGTCCAGGACTTGAACCATGACTGACCATGTAGGAATGCAGTACCTCAACCACTATGCTCCCCACTGGCTCTGGGAAAAATCCTTTTTAAAAAGTGTTTTATGGGGCCAGCAGATGGTATAGCGGTTACAACACTGGACTCTCAAATGGTCAACCGTGGTTTGAGTCCTGGATCCAGTAGCTTGAAACTCATGCCAGGTGCATGTACGTGCATGACCAAGACCCAAGGAGGAGAAGGGAGGAGAAGGGATTGTGGCATGGACATTCCCCCAGGGGTGATTTCTCACTTTCTCATTGTCTCTGTCTCTGTCTGACAAGCGCACACACCCTAAGACAAAAATCTCTGGAAGAAAAAAATGTTTTATGCTAACAA